ACTTTAATCTCATCAAAGAGTAAGAAAACAACACCTTTTCTTGCAGAGAATCTTTGCCTTGTGGTATATGTTGCTCTTCATCTGAAAGAATCAGAGGACTACTAGTCTCATCAGTTTCACTCTCAAGTTGCTCCTTCCACTCGAATTGAGAAGTCAACACAATGAACATAAGAACAAACAAAAGCACCCACGATCTCGTCATCTTGCAGATAATAATAGTCCTTTATTATTGTCTTGGCTTTAGCCTGTGCTACATAACAAACACCAAACACCACTACTCAAAATGACAAAACTAAGAACTTTAGAAAAAAAGATTCAAACTTTAACATTCCAAAATCTCTTGAATCACATGAAGAAGATTCCTGGAGATTTCTAACTTCCATGGTTCTAAATCCACATCCAACAGAGGAAGAAGAACAATTCACTACACCAATTAGCTTTGGTAGTTTTGAAAAGTTTCTCAGGCAACAAATTCAAAACAGACCAAACAAAATTCAGACCAGATAGAGAGCAAGAAAACTCAAAGAACAAAGACAAATTGCAATACAGCTTTGTTTATACAGATACATATAACTGATTAGACTCACCAATCGAAATCCGAATCTATTTATCTTCTCATAAATTTCTTCTCTTTGTGTTCTTTTTTCAACGAATACATCTCACACAACACACAAGTCAACTTTATATTTTACTTGATGGATCTGATTTCTACAGATTAAAATTAATGTGGTAAATTTAAGAATATCTAGATTGTTTAGGGACTGAAGTTGCAAATATGAAGAAGCAAAAGAGTAAACAAAATATCTGAAGAACGGAGGAGAGAAAGAAAGAAAAACCGAGAAAAAATGGGAAATTCGAATTCGTCTTCTGTAAATCATCGCTTCACTTCTGCTTCCAGGTTTCTTCATCGGAACCAATCACTCTCGTTCTCAATTGGAAATCGAAACTTATCATAATTGGGTTTTTGTTTTTGTTTTGTTTTGTGTTGCAGAGCTTTTACTCAGAAGAAGCTCGAAGATCTCAAAACTCTCTTCGCTTCACTCGCTTCCAAATCTCAGAGCAATGACCAATACGTATCGTACTCTGTTTTCCAGGTTTTGACGATTTCTGTGTCCTAAATCAGGTTTCTTAAGGTCGGATCATTCGAATTAGTCTCTCTAACGATGTGTGTTGGATTTCGATTCCACAGGATTATTTTGGTCTGAGTGGTTCTTTAGGAGAAAGAATGTTCGATATGGTTACTCAACTCAGAAAAGATGGTAAAATGACTTATGAAGATCTTGTAATTGCTAAGGTACTTGTCTTTTTGTTGTGTGAATCATTGGTTTCGTCTTGTGAATTTGATATTCTCCTTCTTTGAGGGATTGCTGTGTTGAAGCAGAAGTCTTGTTGATTTCCAGGCAACATACGAGAAAGGAACTGATGATNAGATTGCTGAGTTTATTTACCAGACTTTGGATGTTAATGGCAATGGGGTCTTGACTAGGTATCGATCGAGGCTCTTAACGTGATTTCTTGTGGATTTGAGTTGCGTTATGTGATCATTGTTTCATTACCTGTTTGTTACATGTCCGTTACTGGGTCTTTTCTTGATAGACATTGAACCCAAATTCTCAGATTAGATGGTTATTCTACTGTATCTGAAATTCTAGGTATGTTTTCAGGTCGGATTTAGAGCCGGTCCTGGTCGTGATTTTCAAGAGTGTGTTCTCCACTGAGAGCTCTGATGCAGAATCAAGTGATTACAAGGAGAAGGTGGATGCATTCCTCAACGCCGCTACTTTCTCGAAATCTGATGATGGTTCTGAAAAAGGAATGTCTTTTGAGGATTTCAGAAGCTGGTGCTCGCTTGTTCCAACTATCAGAAAGTTCCTTGGAAGCTTGCTTATGCCCCCAAGTCCAGGTTATTCTTCATTCTCTCTTTGGCTTTAACTCATTTCTTGTTAACTAAAGTTGCAACATTTCTTGATTTTTCACTGTGTAGCGAGACCGGGGTATCAAGTCCCGAATCTGCTTTATCAGGATACTGTGGATTCAAACATGCTTTTGTTAAAGAAGGAATACGCTTGGCATATCGGAGGAGCCCTTCCTCACCACGAGCTTGAAGAGTGGAAACTGCTGTATCACAGTTCCTTACACGGTCAAAGCTTTAACACATTCCTCGGACACACATCGTGAGTGTTTTGCAACTGTACCATAAAAAAAAATCATTTACATTGCATTCTCTTGACTAAATAGTTCAAGATGGATTTGTTTTGGTTCCTAATGTGAATTATTTTGCAGAAACACTGGTATGTCAGCGTCGGTGCTAGTCATCAAAGACAAAGAAGGCTGTGTGTATGGAGGATACGCCTCTCAACCATGGGAGAGGCACAGCGATTTCTATGGAGACATGAAGTCTTTTCTTTTCCAGCTATACCCTAAAGCATCCATTTTCCGACCAACTGGAGCAAACACCAACATTCAATGGGTATGCCTCTATAGACACTCTGTTACTGCTATATGTAAGAATGTGATTATATAAGCATATATTCTAACATATGTAACCTGCGCAGTGTGCTACTAATTTCACATCAGAGAACATTCCAAACGGTATAGGATTTGGAGGCAAGATCCATCACTTTGGTCTGTTTATATCCGCAAACTTTGATCAAGGCCATACATTTTCCTGCACGACATTCGGTAGCCCAAGTCTTTCCAGTACAAGCAGAATGCAGCCAGACGTAATAGAATGCTGGGGAGTCGTTCAGGCCTCAAACGAACTAGACACTAAACACAACGCCATGACAGGTACTGTTCTAGAGAGGTTTAAGGAAGACCGCAACATGCTCAAACTAGTCGGCATGGCAGGCAACTCAAATGATTAAGAGAACANAAAAAAAAACAAAGGATTTTGGTTCTGAGATTCAATAATAGATATCTACATTGAATGTTCTTATACAATGCATGTGTGTGTGGAACCAAATACATTATGTATCATACTTATTGTTGTACAATTCACAGTTTCAACGAATCAGGGTTGTTCTTGAATCTACCAATTTCAGAATGTAATAATAACCTAAAATTTCATTTGGGTTCTCTAACGAAGCATCAAGAACAATATAATAAGAATTTCAGTAACTGCAAAATATGGTAGCAAAAATTATCCAGGGAACAAGTGATTGACATTAAAGCTTATAGAGCATTGAAGTTTAGCTTATAACGATTCATCAAAAAAAAACAAAAATTTGCAGACAAAAAGACCCTAAGAAACTCACACATCTGAGAAATGAGGATCGATTCTCTAGAACTTCCTTCCACGGCCAAATCCAAAGGCAGCAACCGGAGCTGCAGAGGCTGGTTCGACCTTAACAACACCAGGCAACTCGGACATTCCCAAGGAAGCAAGCATCTCGAGGGTCTCTTTATCGACCTCGATGTGATCGGTTTTAATGGCGGATTCGTCGGGTACAAAGTCCATACGACGCTCACGCTCTTCCTCCTGAAGCTTGAGTGAGATTCCACGAACAGGTCCTTTCTGGATTCTCTTCATGAGATGAGTGGAGAATCCGGCGATCTTGTTACGGAGCCTCTTCGAAGGGATGATTGCGACTTCTTCGAGAATCTTCTTGTTGGTGTGGAAATCGAGCGTCATGCGAGAGTAGTACTTCTCGATCACTTGACGAGAGGATTTCTTCACCGTCTTCGTGCGAACGCGACCCATCTTCGACTGTGATTTTAGGGTTACGAAGCTTCTCTACTTCTGCTTCTGAAGTCCGGCGGAGATTAGGGTTTGGATTTTTGTTATTGGGGATCAGAAAAAAGTATTTAAATGTGGGAAAATGGTAGCGGAAGGGTAAAATCGTAATAATAGCCTACGACCTGGAAGCCCAATCCTAAAGGGAAAGAGCCCGTTAAATGTTTGAAGATTCAGAAATGGGCCCATTAAGTAAACAGTATTATATAGAACCCAATTTTTTGGTTATTGTTCGGTACATTTGCAATTTTGAACCCTTAACTACATAGCTTTAATTATGTTTTATAAACATTACATAAAGTAAACAAATGTATCATTGAAACTATTCGTAACAAATGTTAAATTCTTCGACATGAAATAAAGTTATCTAAAGTGCTTAAAATTTATGTGTATAATAAAAGAGCATTTCTCCTGTGAGGAGAGGAGCGTCATTGACCGACCGAAGTGCCTAAAGATGATGGTACATAAGATTTTTCGTCAAAGTCGAATTTGTTATGCTTAAGTGACTTCAAAATCTGTGTATAGGGCCTTCTACGACATATAGCATAGGAATTCATTTTCCTGATTGTATCGGACTTTTGGAGTTATATGAAGAGATCATAAGAGTTTGTAAGAGATTATTGACACAAACAATAAAAACTCTAGAGAGAGAAGTATTTGTCTCAATTTCTTCTTTCCGAATTCATATATTGTTTTTTTTTTGCCGAATTCACAACGGATAGTAATTAAGTATAAATGGTTTAGAAAAAGGATATTTACCATTTATGTGATTCGTGTTAAAGAGAAAACATGCCAGAGCACTAAGATTATCGAAAATGAAACTTGTGAATGTCAAGAGTCTATACCTTTTTTTTTAGAAAAGAATTGTTGGAAATCTTGTATTTGAGGTTTTCACTTTGCTTCAGTTCTTTTATCAGTTATTCATAGAAGTCTTGTAGTATCAGTTCTTTTATTATTTTACTTTATATTTTTTACAAAATATAATATTTTTAATCTATTTTAATATATTTACTTTATATATTTGTTATATTTTTCAGTAGTAAATATGATATGTTTCCAGATATCGGAATTTGTTGCCATCTAAGTTCGCTAAATTAAAAATTTGAATTTAAAAATTAATATTGTTGGGTCTCACTGCTTTAAGTCTAAGATATCGGCTGCATAAAACTTCAGTGTGTGGAACAGTGCAAATCAAGGTTTATTTTATCAATTTGATAAAGGAAAAATTGTGTGGTCTGGTCCCCTCACTCCTCCAGCCCATCTAGTTTAAACTTTGCTTAGAACTTGGAAAATACAGGAAGAGCTTTGGTCCCCTACTAATTAATATCATCAATATGTTATTTTTACTACTATAATTTTAACCAAAAATTATGTTAAATTGTTTTTTTTTCATCGTTAATGTTCCAAATCGTAATTTTGAAAATTTTATATTTTAGAATGACAATTTATAAACTGGTCAAGTTACCAATACATGATTCTCAATATGTTTTTACATATATAATATAGTGATATGGACTGGAACTCGACTAATCCAGAAGTAGAAACTCGTTAGGTACAATCATAAAATGTTAAATATCCATATTAAAAAACATACATGTATAAGTTGGATACAAATTCGTTGAATATAATCACACCATTTCATAGTGTTGTCTCTTGATACATTGTACTACGCACTTTAACTCTTCTCTTGTGAATATTCTCATGCAAATTTTTTTTTTTTTTTGGAAACATATTCTCATGAAATTTTCTTTGTAAGTAAATTTGGTATGTCTTCAACTAAAAATAATTGTTACTTCAGATAATTTGGCAGTGCATGTTCCCATAGTTCCAGCCTGATTCCAACATATCTTTATATTCCAACACTTACGAACTTCGTCAAAACCTAAGAAAATAGAATCTTAATATTTTGCACTACACATATTATTAATTACCTCGATTCATGTCGACGTACCAATTACCTAATTGTATAATGCCAGATATACACTATTGGTCGCAACTTGAATGAGGTTAATCAACAAGTGAATCTGCTATTACTTTTAAATTACTAGGAGTAGTACAACTACAAAGTACTCACTCATTACGACTTACGAGAACACGAACAACTAAAGGGGAACAATATTGTGGAACAGAAAATAAAAGAAAGAGGGGGTTGTATTTACTAGGGAACTGAGAAAATGTCATAGATAAAGGAATATTTTGATTAGAGAAATAGCAACTTACTCGAAGCTCAGTGAAGCTTCTCGCACCGCTTTCCAAAAATAACAAAGGAAGGTTGTCGTTTAGGGATATTTAAATAAAGAAACTTGCAGATTATAGAAACTCCTCCACGATTTACAATGCAGATTCCCTCTCTTTCTCTTCGAGAGATCATTATCTATTACATTACACTAGATTTTGATCTACGCCAAACGTAAAATTAAATGATTAAATATATATTTTTAATCGATTTTTTTATTTAAACGTATATGACAAAACATATGATTTCTAATATCTATAAACGTAAAATAATAACATATATTGCATAAATATTATAAATTTGAATTTTGATCAAACATTTATGTGTAAAATTGGTTAAAACATATACAAAATTATTTATTTCAATATATTTTAAGTGTAAATTAATTTTAAATATTCGTGTAAATTATAAACTATGTGAAATCATAGAAATTTTAGATTTATATTAATATGTCGGACATAACAAACAAAAACAATATATTTTTTTTTAATAATTAAATGTGTAAATATTTGTAAGTTTAGTTATATATGTATAATAGACTATATCAAAATTAAAACATATGTATAGTGTGCTAATCTAAATACATATATAACAGTAAATCAATTTTTATGGTAAGTCTAAATATGACATTTAGTTGAGTTTAAAATGTTAAAACATTTAATAGTGGATTTATGTTAAATTTTAAAATCTCATAAGAAAATGTATATAATTTATACCATGGTACATACCATTAATTGAAATATTTTGATTGGTTAAATGAAACGATGTATCCATTAAATTGCTCATTGATTCACATCACAATTTTTTCTTCTATTGTCACTTCAATTAATATATAGAAGATTCAAAACAGTTTATATTTCGGATATATTGATTTTTCAAGATTAATATAGTATCCAAGAAACAAGCAACATAAAAATTTGTTTTAAGAAACTGATTTAATTTTTCAGTTTAGGTGAAATATAGTAATTAAGGTTTTTTTAATATTATTTCTATAAAATATTTTGAAAGCATTAATGATTACTTAAAATCCTCTTTGATTGACACCTAAGATTTTTCATAGTGTCTCCTCTATTAATATATAGAGGATACAAAGTATTAATTGAAATATTTTGATTGGTTCATTGAAACGATGTATCCATTAAATTGCTCATTGATTCACATCACAATTTTTTCTTCTATTGTCATTTCAATTAATATATAGAAGATTCAAAACAGTTTATGTTTCGGATATATTGATTTTTCAAGATTAATATAGTATCCAAAAAACATAGCAACATGAAAATTTGTTTTAAGAAACTGATTTAATTTTTCAGTTAAAATTTTGTTTATTTTCAATTAATTTTTTTAATTTTGAATTCGTTTCGTTGGGTTTGGATCGAAGTTTAACTTTAATTTTTTATGAGAGAACAAAATCCACAAATATGATTAGGTGATATCGATAAAAGAAAAGAACTTTAGTTAAATTCGGTGGGTAATTTAGGTGAAATATAGTAATTAAGGTTTTTTAATATTATTTCTATAAAATATTTTGAAAGCATTAATGATTCTTTAAAATCTTCTTTGATTAACACCTAAGATTTTTCTTAGTGTCTCCTCTATTAATATATATATAGAGGATGTGTTTGTGTGTAACAATTTGCTCATATAATATAATATATGCGACTACAATTCACGTACCACCAAGAAAAATTACTGCTTGGAAAAAACTCTATATATGGGAAGTGTAAGCTACTTCGCCCATTATATGTAATATGTAAACCAATTTCTTAATCTTTTATGAAAAGGTGAATTCGAATTCTCCGCAGAGAAAATAGGTTAATTTTTAACCACTTGTCTTCTTCTTTTTTTTGGTCATCTTTAACCATTTGTCTAAAGGCATTTTTTAAACCGTAATTATATATATTATGCATATTTATATAGGTATGTTATCTTAGTTAATAAACAAAAATAATGCTCTATAACCATAGTAAAAGGAAAAAAGACAGTACGTACAAACAAGAGCCCAACAATAAATTGTGTCTATCATTGGAGAGGAAATGACCCTAACATGTGCGATATTACATAATGAAAATTAAAGAGAACTTTTTCCATAGATTAATATTTAAAAACCAAAAAAAAAAATTACTTATAGAAAAGGACATAAATAAAATAACAAATTGTGTTTAATTGATGCAGACGTACATGCAAAAAGGTGCCCGGAAATCGACCTGGAAATGATGTCGCCTTTGTCCATTACTCAATTCTTTTGCAACACTAATTCAATCACTATTTGCTGAAGAGGACATGTCTTAGCTATGAAACAAATTCCGAAACCATGATGTATTTTACATATATGTATAATTACAACCCCGGCGATGAAATACCAAAATGATCATCCGTACATGTTTTTGGGACTGGGATCGGGACTAAAGCGGCACATCATAATATATCGGTAAAAAACTGGTTTTGCATTTTAATTACAAACTATATGTTTTATTTATTTATTCAAATGTTTCAAAAAAATCCTTGAAAATTGATTTTTTTAGGGCCTCATACCAAACTTATTTTGACACAGTTATTGTTGTCTTTAAGAAAACTTGAGAAAGATGTTACTGAAAAGTTCTGCATTTTCAATAATAGATCGGCCCTTAAATAGACCAATGTTTTACAACTTGAATCCGAAACTTAAGCTACTAAACAACCTAAAACAAATTCAAACGTGTGACTAGTTGAACTAGTCTCTTCCTAGAAA